GGGGGGGGGGGGGGGGGGGGGGGGGGGAGAGGGGAGAGGGGGGGGGGGGAGAACCTACTCCTCGGCAACCGGGGCGGCGGGCTGGTCCAGACGAGAGCTGTAGAGCATCGGGCGGAGGGGGATGCGCTTCCGGTCCTGGGCGGCCTCCTAGAGAGCGCAAAGCAGACGAGCCCAAAGCCAGAGAGGGGAAGAAAGAAAGAAAAAGAACACAGGAGAGGGGTCAGTCGCCGGGTCAGAAGAAGCAACAGGGACAGGGGTGCTGAACGGCAGGGCATGCTCCCCTGCCACAGGCCGAAGGGAGGAGGCGAGGAGGAGGCCACCAATGGATAGAGAGAGAGAGAGAGAGAGAGAGAAAATGTGTGTGTGTAGGGGGGGGGGGGGGGGCGTTGTACCATGTCGTTGACGATGACGTGGTACAGGGTGTAGGGGAGAATCACACCAGCGACGGCCATGATGACAGCGTTACGGGGGGTGATCCGGAAGTAGCGGAACTGGTTCTCACGCATGGAGGCCCAGCTCTCGATGGCGGGGTCCCTCATGATGGGGGTGGCGGAGAAGGGGTTCTGCATGGTGGTCTGGCGGTGGCAACAAGGGCAGGAGGAGGAGGAGGGGGGGGGGGGAAAGAAGTGTCAGAACAGAGGTCCTGGCAGCAGGGGCAGAGCAGGGACAGCGGGCAACCAGGCGAGGCAAAAGCAGAGGAACGAGGAAGGCGGCAGCGCGAAAGGGAATCTTACAGGGGGGAGGGGGAGGGGGGGGGGGGGGGCAACAAGGACAAGGCAGAGGGGAGGATCGGCCAGGAGGAGTGTTGTCTGAAAGCGCGCCTCCCGCGCCGGAGGCAGCACCAAAGCGCGCCGGCAGATGAATGATCCGACACTGGACGGAGCCGAAGCGAGAAATGGTATTTGGAAGGTCATGTGGCGATTAGAGGCCACGGGATAGCGCCCAGGCTGCCAACGCTCTCTGACTCAAAGGCAACTGCCTGGCCGGCGGACCGTGCGAGGGCTGACCAAGTCCGCATCCCTCCCACTCCCCCCGCCCCCCCCCGTCTCCCGTCGCCTCTCCTTTCCCCCTTCACTCGAGCGCTGGAAGCTTCGCCTCTGCTACGCGCGCGCGCGTGCCGGACCCCCTCACCTTTCTCCGGTCTCTTCCTTCTCTCCTCCGTCGCCTGTACTTGGCTTGAGGCTTTTTTTCTTCCTCCCTCCACCACACCGACATGGTGCCCAATCGACCGCACCAGCCTCCGCCGCCGCACCCACCTGGCGCTCCATTCGGCGGACGTCTGCACCCGCCCCCGCCTTCGCACTATGAACATGGAGCGCACCCGGGCGGCCCGCAGCCACCCGGACCGCTCGGTGGGGGCCCGGGCCAGCACCATCCGCATGCCTTTGTTCCCTCCCTCCCACCGGCCCCAATGAGCATGGGCAACTTCAGTCTCCCAAAGGCGCCAGGAGGGACGAGCATCAGCCACCAGCCTCCAGGGGGGGGACCCGGCCACCCGGTTCATCTGCCGGCCGTGCACACCGGGCACTCGCTGCCACCGCCGCCGGCACCACCACCGCACCATCCGCATTTCCTCTCACCCCAGGGACCGCCACCGTCCCAGCACCATCCTGGGATGGTGCTGCCGTCCGGCGGCGGCGGCGCCACCGCCGCCGCGGCCGCCGCCGCACGGCCCCCGGTCGCTGCTCCGGGCCCTGCGATGGCGGATCCCCCACCGCCCAACCTGGCAGCCATTTTCAATCTCGACGCTCCGATTGAGCCGCCTCTGATTAAACCTTTGGCCGAGGAGGCCCCGCCATCGGCCGTGTCGACGCCGACGGCCACCGAGCCCGGGCGTTCTGTCGGCCGGGGAGCCGCCCATGCCAGCCCATACCGCATCTCCAAGGCCCGGCTGACGCCGATTCGTCCGCGCGTGGCGGTCATCTGTGCCAGTAACCAAAATCGCAGCATGGAAGCACACGATGTGCTCATGTGCGTGTCACTCCTCTCGGCCCCCTGTGGGCAATGCAAGGGCAAGGCGGTCGGTGGGTGGGGGCAGGGGGGAGGGGGGAGGGGAAATTCCGCTGGCGCATGTGCAGATGGATCATATGTCGGCCTGCTTGTGGAACATGACACTTACCTTGCCGTCCTTGCTCTCCTGCCTTTGCCTCTCTGCACTCCTGCTCCTCCCTGGACATCGGGTAGCTCGCACGGCATCCCAGTCCACTCATATGGTACTGGCAGTCGGGTGAAGCTTCCTGGGCCGTCGGCCGACAAGCCGAACGTCTATCCCTTTGGGACGCCATATGCGTCGATCGAGAAGGAGCTCGGGTCGAAGGATCCCAAACTGTACGTATTGCTGTACTCACACAGCATGGGGCGTCTCTCCTCCCTGCCTTGGCTCCCCCTCTCGTCTTCCTATCTATCGGGGAGGAGGAAAGAGCAGGGGGAGGGGGCAAAGGAGGCAGCATATGGATCTGCCGCCGTGCAGGCTCTCGGGCATGTCGGTCGGCAATTTGGTCTGGGTGCAGGGTCTAAGTGTGGAGGCTGCTGCCGTTCCGACCACATCACCGCCGCGGCTGCCGCCATCCGAGGGTGGGTCTGTTCTGAATCCAGCCACCCGTCTGCTGCTTGGGTTGAACACTCGCCTGGCGGATGGGTGCGCCGATGTGCCCGTAAGCGTGTCTGTGTGTGTGTGCGTGTGCATGTATGCATGTTTGCGTGTGTATACATACATGTATTCACATGCGCACGGCCTTACCACATAAGGAGCACTGGTGGGCTGGAGGGAGACGATGCCAAAGGGGATGCCGTGAGAAACATGCCTCCGGACGGTGAGGTGGTTTCCGCTTCGCTGGTCGATGTGGTTTCTCGTTGGCACTGGCATCGGTCCATGGGGGAGGGGGAGGTGGGGGTGAAATGGGGCCGAAAAGGAAGGGCACAGACACTTGCCCTTTGCCCCGGGGACAGGGAATGGAGGAAGGGGGAGAAATCGGCGAAGATTCGACCGGGCGAGGCCAGCATGCGGCTTGGAAGGCTCCAAAAGACAGGCCTCACTCCGAGCGATGCACTAACACGCCTACCTGAACACATCACACACACACACACACACACACACACACGTAGCTACAAGGGTAATGGCTTGCTGCCGATGCTTGAGCGGAATTCCCGGGTCAAGCGCGCGCCCGAGCGCTTTGTCGACACGCTGATGGCTCCGTATGTCCCGGCGCCGGATGAGCCCGTGCAAGCGGTCCAAGCCGCCAAGCAGGAGTCCACGCCGGTGGTCTTGCCCGACTTGAGGCTCATCGACCGGCACCCGGGGCAACTGGCCAGCACCACAACCGACGTCCGGTGGAAGGATTTGGACTTCGGGGCCGTGGCGGCATGTTCCTTCCTGGCGGCCGACCGGGACCTCATCACTTGCACATCCCTGAGCGGCCTTTTCCTGGAGAACCACTATGGGGCCGGGAATTCGGCTCCCATGGCCCTGGTGACGCCGGTGGCCGGGGAATCGGCCGGTCCGGGGGAGATCGAGGGGGAAGATCAACAACCGGGCGACTTTGTCGGGGCTGGAACCCCGCCAGGAGTGCCGCCGGACCACTCGAACCCGGACCCGACCTTGGAGCTGGACTTCACGGAGCCGGACGACTCGGCTGCCCCGTCGGCCACCACCTCGGCGTCGGCCTCCTCGCGGAATCTTTCCCGAGTGCGGCTCTCATCACGTCAGTGCCAAACTGGGCCCGAGCGCTTTGATGTGCTGATCACCTGCGAGGCTCGCTGCTTTGAGGCTGTGCGGGCCACCCTCACTTCCATCGATGTGACCTTGCCGCCGGCCGTCCCGGGTGAGGGGAGCGGCCCCTCGATGACGGAGGCGCGCGCAGCGGCCTCCATCGTTCCGGCCACCTGGCGTGGTCCGCGCCACGGGGTACCGGTGCATGTCATCAATGTGGAAATCAAGGACAACCGGACCGAAGCGCGCCTCGGTGCGGCAGACATCTTGAACTTGGTACAAAGTGTGCGTTGCTCTTCGGGGTGCGGG